GTGAGATACAGTTACAGCATTACAAAGCTTCACGATTACGTTTTGATCAAACAATGTTCGAGTACCCATTCCTCTAATCAGTATCCCTTCTCCATCACAAATGTTCCCAGTATCCCTCCCGCCACCCCCACCCCGTGCCCTCACCCCTGCCTCTATGGCAGGCACATTCCCATTTACTCTCTCTCTCTCTCTCCTTTTGGGTGTTACGGTTTGCAATACAGGTAATGAGTGCCCATCGTGTTTGGTCTATAGTCTACTTTCAGCACGCATCTCCCATCCCGAGCGAACCCTCCAAGCATCATTCACTTAGTGGTCCCTTCTCTATCCCAGTTGCCTTTTCCCCCAGCATGTGAGGCCAGCTTCCAAGCCATGGCACAATCTTCCTGACCCTTATCTCTATTATCTTTGGGTGTTAGTCTCCTGTTCTGTTACTTTATATTCCACAATGAGTGCAGTCATTCTAGGTCTGTTCCTCTCTCTCCCTAACTCATTTCACTTGGCCTGATACTCTCCATGTTGATCCACTTATATGGATATTTTATGACTTCATCTTTTATAACAGCTGCATAATATTCTACTGTGTATATGTACCAAAGTTTCTTTAACTAGTCATCAGTTCTCAGGCACTCCAGTTTTTTCCAGATTCTGGCTATTGTAAATAGTGCTGCAATAAACATACAAGTGCAGATGTCATTTCTACTGTGTCTTTTTGCATCTCCAGGATATATTCCCAGAAGTGGTGTTGCTGAGTAAAATGGGAGCTCAGTTTCTAGTTTTTTGAGAAACATCTATATTTTTTTCCAAAAAGACTGAACCAGTAAGTATGTCTGCCAGGAGTGGAAAGTCCCTTTCCTCCCCACATTCATGTCAAAACTGATTTATTTTGTTCTTTTGAATGCATGCTAGTCTCTGTGCTGTGAGGCATCACCTTCTCCAACCTCAAACTGTACTACAAAGTGGTAATAATTAAAGCATCATGGTAGATTCCCAGACAGATCCACAGAACAATGGAATAGGGCTGAGTATCCTTACACACATGCTCAAATATATGATCATCTAATCTTTGATTATGAAGCAAAAAATATAAAATGGAATACAGAAAGCTTCTTTAACAAATGGTTCTGGCAAAAGTGGACAGCTACATAGAAAAAAAATGGGGTCAGACCTCTACTTAATACCATGCACAAAAATTAGATCTAAGTGGATTAAATACCTCAACATCAGACCAAATCCATAAGGTACATTGAAAAAAAGGTTGGCAAAACCCTCCACAACATTGAAACTAAAGGTATGTTCAAAGACAAAACACTAGTTACCAAGCAAATAGAAACAGAGATAAACAAATGGGACTATCTTAAACTAAGAAGCTTCTACACCTCAGAAGAAACAGTGACAAGAATACAAAGACAGTCTACAGAATGGGAAAGGATATTCACCCAATACCCTTCTGATTAAGTTCAACAAGGCCCTGGTTGAACTCTACAAGAAGAACACATCCAATCCCATCAGAAAATGGGGTGGTGATAGAAACCTTCTCAAAGAATAAATACGAATGGCCAAAAGATACATGAAAAACTGCTTTTCATCACTAATCATCAGGGAGATTCAGATCTAAACAACAATGAGATATCATCTCACACCACAGAGACTGGCACACATCCAGACGTATATAGAATCATTTTATAGCATACCTCCAATGTTGCTAGCACTGAACAGGCTTAACCACATGCAAGGCAAGTACATTTCCCCTTTATTATATCTCCATCCCAAGAGGTTTATTTTGTTTTGTCTTGCTACCCAGATATGAAGCAGAGAAGGCTGGGACTTTTGTTTGACTCTGGGGGAGAAGATAAAGTAACCGACCATAGCTAGGAGAACGCATGCATCCTCTAAGAGGTTTGGATAGGATCTTGTGAGAGTATTCAAAGAAAGGAGTGTTTTAACTGTTTAAGAAGAAGTCTATAAAACTCAACATCCTTTTCCTTGTATTTGAAAATAGAACTCTGTTTCCAGTTGCTACCACCTATTTATAATCACAAAAAATCGGGGATAAGATTTACTCAGGGGATGTAGGGAATAAGAAAAGAAACCCTAATCAACCACTCTAATACATGGAATACTCTGAAGACTTTTGTATCTTGGTCTCCCAAGGCCTACCAGGAGTGATCCCTGAGCACAGAGCCAGGTATAAGCCCTGAGAACTGCCAGTACAGTCCAAAAACAAAACAAATAATAAATTTCCTTGTTTCCAAAACCCAGTTTAACTTGGATTTAATGTTAGATAAAGTGAAAATATTTTAATACAAGACTTTAGTATAAGGGAAAATTAAACACTCTCAGTACTAAAAATATAAAAGGAAGAAAATCCTATATGAAAGTAAATTGCCCTCCCGTTGATCGTCGATTTGCTCGAGCGGGCCCAGTAACATCTCCATTGGAGACTTTGTTGTTACTGTGTCTGGCATATCAAATACTCTCAGTAGCTTGCCGGGCTCTCCGAGAGGGGCGGAGGAATCGAACTCGGGTCGGCCCAGTGCTCTGAATGAAAGTAAATATCTAATGAAATTTTAGAATAGCCAGAATCTGGAAAAAAACTGAGTGCCTGTGAACAGATGACTAGTTAAAGAAACTCTGGTAAATCTACACAATGGAATACTATACAGCTGTTAAAAGAGGTGATATAATTAAATTTGTGTATAAGCGGATGGACATGGAGAGTGTCTTGCTAAGTGAAATGAGCAGAAAGAGAGGGACAGACATAGAATTACTGCACTCATTTGTAGAATAAAAATTAGCATAATATGAGACTAAAACCTAAGGACAGTAGACATAGGGGCCAGGAGGATCCTGCCATGGTTTGGAAGCCAGCCCCACGTGCTGGGGGGAAAAGGCTGTTGGGATGGAGAAGGAATCACTAAGTAAATGATGATTGGAAGGATAGCCTAGGATGGGAGATATGTGCTGCAAGTAGATTAAGGACCTAACATGATGACCTCTTAGTACCTATATTGCAAATCATGCCACCCAAAATTAGAGAGAGTGGGGTGGGATGGGGGTGGTGGGAGGGACATGGGAACAATGGTGGTGAAAAATGTACACTGGTGGTGGGATGGGTGCTCGAACATTATATGACTGAAATGTAATCATGCAAGTTTGTAACTGTATCTCACAGTGATCAATAAAATTTATTTTCAAAAATTTCTTTAAAAAATTAAAATAAAATAAAGAAATGTTAGAGCTATAGTTGAAGGGGAAAATTGACACTAAATGTTAAGAATATGGGGACATTGGAGTTATACAGGATACACAATAATGTACCAATTTCTATGCTACTAAAAAGCAGGAAACCAAATAATTTTAAAACTAGAAACTAAAATAAATTTAAAACTATTCTGAGTTATATTGAAAATAAATCTTGAGCCAGAGAGATAGTTTAGTGGGTAAAGAGCTTGCTTTGCATGCAGCCAACCTGGCCTTAAGTTTCAGCATCATATATGGTGTCCTAAGCACCACCAGGAATGATCCCCAATCATAGAGATAGGAGTAAGATCTGAGCCCTGTTGGATATGGTCCCTAAACAAAAAGTGAAATAAAAGCAAATCTTTAAAATTAGAGACAATAGCGTATAATGATCAGTATGTTCTCCAAATGAGTTCCACAAAAGATGGTTGTCCTTCATCTAGTGTTCTGCTAATCCTATTTAGGATGACTCGAGTGAACAACTTGTAGATGACAGACAATAGGCAGATCGGGCGATAGTTGCCAATGTCAAGGACAACCATGCGAGCAAGCCGGGTTCCGCAAAGGATTCAGCACCATCGACCATATCCACACGATAACCAAGCTCATTGAGGTTTCTCGGGAGTCCAAGATGCCGCTCTGTTTAACGTTCATTGATTTAAAGAAGGCCTTTGATTCTGTTGAGACGGAAGCGGTCATTGAAGCCCTAGCCAATCAGGGCATTCAAGCCCAATACATCAAGATCCTCCGTGAGCTGAATTGCAGATTCACTACCAGGATCTCACCATTCTACAAAGAAGTGATCGTTGATGTCAAGAGAGGGGTTCGGCAGGGTGATACCATTTCACCGAAACTCTTCAGTGCCACCCTAGAGAACATCATGCGACAACTGGAATGGGAAGGAATGGGAGTGAAGATAGATGGTCGGCAACTACACCACCTCCGCTTTGCTGATGACATTGTTTTAATAACACCAAACATCAGCCAAGCGGCACAAATGCTGGCCGACTTTGACCGTGAGTGTGGAAAGGTAGGACTACAGCTGAATCTTACGAAGACAATGTTTATGAGAAACAGCCTCATTCCTGATGCCCCATTCGCTCTCAATGGAACGACCATCTCCGAATGCAACAGCTATGTGTACCTAGGTCGAGAGGTCAACATGACAAATGACCTGGCACCCGAGCTGCGCAGGAGGAAGAGAGCGGCTTGGAACACCTTCAAGAACGTCAAAGAAATAGCTAAGAGGACGAAGAACCTCCGGCTCCGGGCACATCTCTTTGATTGCACTGTTCTTCCTACATTAACATATGCCTCAGAGACCTGGGACCTATGCAAACAGGATGAGAATGCTATTCAGGTCTCCCAAAGAGGAATTGAAAGAGCTCTGTTTGGAATATCATGTTTCACTCAAATGAGAGAAAGAATCTGGAGTTCCGACATCCGTCGACGATCAAGAATCAGGTATGCTGTCTCATTTGCCAAGGTGTCAAAAGTAAGATGGGCTGGTCATGTAATGAGATTTAAAGACGACCGCTGGACTAGAGCTGTTACTGACTGGATTCCACGGGATGTCAGACTTCTTCGTCAAGATCATGAACAATCGGTTTGAGGCTCTTCATGTTCCCAGAGCAAACAGATGCCATTGGGCTACACTAGCACGCGACAGGGACAAATGGAGACGTTACTGGCGCCTGCTCGAGCAAATCAACGACTAACGGGAAGTTAAGTGATAAGTGATCTTTAATAATTTTCTTGGAGTGCTCGTTTTGGCAACACACATACTGAAATTGGAATGACTCATAGAAGATTAGCATTGTCCCTGCATAAAGATGCCACACAAGTTCATAAAGCATTCCACATATTTAAAAAAATATCTTGGAGCTACCGTAATAGTACAGGGGGTAAGGTGCTTGCCTTGAGCACAACCAACCTGGGTTTTATCTTTGGCATCCCACATTGAGCCTGTCAGTATCTATCTACCTAAGAAGATCACTGACAGATCACTTACTCCTGACAACAGAGCCGGGAGTAAGCCCTGAGCATCTGCAGGTATACCCCATCAACCAAAAATAAATAAATAAATAAATTAGTTAAAATAAATCAAAATTACCTTTGGAAATTTAAGAGTCAGAAAATGAAGGCTTCTGTAGCATAAAGCAACAAAAACAAGTGTTAAGTAAATGGACAGGGAATGGAGTTCAAGCAATCCTCATTGAATTAATAACATGCCAATATTATACAAATATTATATATTTAGGGATTGTGTTGGGGTTTTCTTGTGTTTTTTTGATTTGTTTCTTTTTCAAGGACTGAAGGGCGCCCCCCTAAGCAAGTTCAAGGGACCCAGGGACCTTGATCTGCCATTCTGTGCTAGCGTGGGAATGCAATGTTCCTTGGCCACTGAGTGCACAGCCCACCAGAGTCACACCCTGTGATACTCCAGATTTTGTGCTTAATGTTATTTATGGTTATGGTGGGTAAAAAACTCTAATTTGGGGACTGTTCTGAGAACTGTAACATAACTAAAGAAAACTATATACTAATTAAGGATTTTGTCACCTTTTAATAGAAATGAACGTATGGTTACCTGTTTAAAACAATAGTTAGTTGTATGATGAGGATTTTTTCCTAGGGTAAGTGAAATGGGAAGATAGCCACACACTAGTGACTAGAGTGCAGTGGCCAGAACAATGCATTCTGTTGTGGGTCAAGGTCAAGAGGGAGCTTATTTTTAAAGCCTTGAGATGGCAAACACAAGGCATGCTCAGCTCACACTAGAAACCCTGGGCAGACACAAAACGCTGCCAATCCAATTGTTACATTCCTTTTCAATGATCTCAGATAAAGGTAAGGTAAAGGCCCTCCCGTTGATCGTCGATTTGCTCGAGCGGGCCCAGTAACGTCTCCATTGGAGACTTTGTTGTTACTGTGTCTGGCATATCGAATACTCTCGGTAGCTTGCCGGGCTCTCCGAGAGGGCGGAGGAATCGAACTCGGGTCGGCCATGTTGGCCGCTTGTAAGGCAAACGCCCTACCCGCTGTGCTATCGCTCCAGCCCTCTATCATCTCAAAACTTCTTTCCACACAGCCCAAGAAAATAGTTTTCCCACAATATAAAATGTGCAGTATCCCTTACCTTAACTGTTGGTTGTCGCCCTAAACAAACTTCTTTTTTGTAGAGAAGTAAATGTTCTACTTAAGGAACTCTAAGGAGACAGACAGACAGACAGACAGACAGATAGACAGACAGACAGGCAGGCTGACAGAGAAAGAAAAATATGTTCAAAAAAGATTATGGACTTCTCTATGGGCATATTCATCTCAAAGTACCATTTTAATATTAATATAGGTTAATACCCTAGGTTAATCTTTGGGTGTAAGGAGACTTCAGTGTGAATAAATGACATTCTGTGTTACACACCAATAATTTTTGAGGGGTTTTCTTTGCTGGGGGCTGAGGGAGTCACACCTGGTGGTGCTCAGGGCTACTCTTGATTCGATGTTCAAGGGTTTCTCCAAGGATCAAACCCTGGATGTCCTGCATATAAAACACTCATTTCATCCCATAAATTTGATTTCTGGTATTTTTTTTCTTTAAAGATAGACTTGATTATTTTGAGATTCTGAATATGAAAATCCAGGGTCCAGGAATTCATTCTGAGTAGCCCTGCCAAATTACTGTCAACCTGATATTCTTCCTCAGTGACTGTTTTTTAAACAGTCTTTTTGCATTTACACTTTTGTAAATGCAAACAAAAATCATCTTCTTACACATTTATATTTTATTATATTTTATTTTATTTGCTTTTTGGGTCACACCTGGCAATGCACAGGGGTTACTCCTGGCTCTGCACTCAGGAATTACTCCTGGTGGTGCTCAGCGGACCATATGGGATGCTCGTAATTGAACCCGGGTCGACCACGTGCAAGGCAAACGTCCTACCCGCTGTTCTATCTCTCCAGCCCCACTCATTTATATTTTAGTAAATTGGTGCTAAAATTTTGTCTTCTAATTGGATGGTGATATACTGGCTCTAATTCCAAAAACACCTAGCCAATTTTGGATTTCTTGCTTAATCTCATCTTTTTTTTCTCTAAACTATTTTTTTTTTATCCAAACATACATGGTGGGCAGATGTATTAAGAGCAAAGATCTTCCCACATAGAGTTATTCTAATACTATCTGGAAGTTATTAAATGCACATTAATGTGACTGAGGATAACTACAGTTAATTAACTAATTATGAAAAAACAATATGAGTCAGGAATGTTGAAATCACATGAGTATTAACAAATAAAATTATAACCCACAAATTGTTTTAAATGATGTTGGTATATTCAATCACAGAGAAACAAATAAGACATAGGCCTTAGAGATTATGGTAAAATTAATGAATAATTTTGCACAAAATTAAGAATCATTCACCAAGATATTGCCTGTGAAGCAGTGAGACATTTTGCTGACAGATAACAGACGAATTTTCTGATTATTAAACTATACAGTAGATCATAAGACTTTGTGATAAAACAACTACAATTTTAGAAAGGTCAACGGACTTCAATATTTATGATATGAATATTTTGTAAACTAAATATCGGAATGTAAGTTCTAAAAAGTATAATATTCTAAAAAAAGATAGTGGGATAGAATATTTCAACTGACTATTCCAATAAATTTAAGGTTATTGTATGTAATTTATCTTAACCTTGAGGAAAGTATGGTCAGACAAGTATGAAAATTATTTTCCCATTTAAACATTTTATATTTCTAGAGTCTTAGAGATAGTAATATATATGTTTAATTATATGTCATTTTTTTTCAAGTGTACTCTGAGCTATGCTGTTCTAAGTATCTCAAATATATCATTGGGTCTTATAACAACTATTTGAGGTGTTAACAAGTGTAGAAACTAAATCACAGAAATAGTATACTGTCTGTCCAACAGAATTCTGCCGCTGAGAGAGCTTGAACAAAATCTAGGCAGTCTCTCTCAAGAGCCCAATTATTAATTACAATGCTGTATTGTATTGTGCCAACTTGATTAGCTGCTATATCCATTATTTAGTCAACCCCATCTAGATGTTACAATAAAGATAGTTTTAAGATGTGATTAGTATTTAAATCAATAAATTCTTAATTTTGTTTCTCTTGAACCAAATCTGGCAGTGTTCAGGGAATATTTCCTGCCCTATGCTTAGAGGTTACTCCCAGCAGCATGGGGCAACCATATCATGCCAGAGACTGAACCTGGGGTTCCAACAAACAAATTATGCACTCATATCTTTGAGCTGGGCTGGAGCGATAACACAGCGGTAGGGCGTTTGCCTTGCGCACAGCCAGCCGGCCGAGCTGGGTTCAATTCCTCCACCCCTCTCCGAGAGCCCGGCAAGCTACTGAGAGTACCTCGCCTGGAAAGCAAAGCCTGGCAAGCTGCCCGTGATTATTCAATATGCCAAAAACAGTAACAAGTCTCAAAATGGAGATGTTACTGGGCCCGCTCGAGCAAATCGATGAACAACGGGAGGACAGCTATTCCTCTATGCCACATTAGTAAATTTTATTTATTTATTTATTTATTTAGGGAGGGGGGGTCCTAAATGGTATTTCCGGGACTTAAAGACTCTTTCTGGTGACTCTCAGCTCACTAGCATTGACAATGCAATACTAGAGGATGCTCTTAAGATGCTGCTCAGGCCGTATAGTGATGGGCACCTTCAGGACCATCCTGGAAGTTCAGAGGGCCTCAAAGTTCATAGCTGGTGGTACACACAAGCTCCAGAGTTATACCTAGCAATTGTTGGGGAATCATATGGCACCAAGAATCAAACTGGCATGCATCTAACCCCAGTATACAATCCCCTATAATAAACTTTTGGTAGTTTCTACTCAGAAGACCTTTCTGGCTTTTAATCTTTAATTCAGCTCATCATTTCTTTTTGATGGTTTAATATAAGGGGTTCAAGACTACAAAACCAACTCTTTCTTGGATTTCCAGGTTCTTGGGATGCTCCACAAGTTGCAAGCTCCAGATTTGCAAGCAGATATTCATGATCACATTACTCAGATGGACTTACAGCTTTCTTTTTTCTTTTTTCTTTCTTTCCGTTTAATTTCTTTCTCCTTTCTTTCTTTCTTTCTTTCTTTCTTTCTTTCTTTCTTTCTTTCTTTCTTTCTTTCTTTCCTCCTCCCTCCCACCCTCCCTTCCTCAGTTTCTCCCTCCCTCACTCTCTCCCTCCCTGCTTCCTTCCTTCACACCTCCCTCCCTCCTTCCTTCCCTCCCCTCCTTCCCTCCCTCCCTCCCTCCCTTCCTCCTTCCTTCCTTCCTTCCTTCCTTCCTTCCTTCCTTCCTTCTTTCTTTTCTTCTTCCTTTCTTTCTTTCTTCCTTTCTTCTTTCCAGTTGTGCTAGTAGTCTATATGGTGCCAGGGATAGAATTGAGGGCGATGCCAGGAGTGATCCCTCAAAACAAAGTCAGGAGTAAACCCAGGTATGGCTCCCAAAACAAAAATAAAGAACTGTGAAGTGGAGAAAGGAAAGCCTCTTTAAAAAAGAATGCTGGCGTTTCCAAATAAAGGGTGTTTCGAGGATCCTCCCAGGATGGGAGATGCATGTTGAAAGTAGACTATAGACTGAACATGATTGCCACTCAATGCCTCTTTTGCAGACCACAACACCCAAAAGGAGAGAGAGAACAAAGGGAATGCCCAGGCACAGAGGGAGGGTGGGATGGGGCAATGGGGTGGGAGGGACACTGGGAACCATGGTGATGGAAAATGGGCACTGGTATTTGATCATTGTATAATCGAAACCCGAGCTCAAAAATTTGTAAGTCTACAACTGTACCTCATTTTGTTTCACTAATAAA